ATTTCTGTTATAGTACTAATCTGATGTTCTGAGTTTAAATTAAATTTGAATTGGAATGTTTAAATTCTTTTGCAAAGGTGGTAGCGAATCCACATATACACACTTTTTTTTTTAAGTACATGAAACTGCCTAGGTGCAGTGGCTCATGCCTATAATCCTAGCACTTTGGGAGGCTGAGGCAGGAGGGTTGTTTGATGCCAGGAGTTCAAGACCAGCCTGGGCAACCTAGCCATACCCTGTCTCAAAAAAAAAAAAAAAAGTTAGCCAGGCGTGGTGATCCCAGGTGGTGCATGCCTGTAGTCTCAGCTACTCAGGAGGCTGAGGCAGGAGGATCGCCTGAGCCCAGAAATTAGCGGTTACAGTGAGCTATGATCACACCACTGCACTCTAGCTAGAGTTACAGAGCGAGACCCTATCTCTAAAAAACAAACAAAAAAACGTGAAACCATACTTGGTTTCTCTTTTTTCCAAGTTGACGTTTTGCATTACATGGGCAAGTCCTGAACCTAAGCAGACACTAGCCCGTCACCTCCAGCGATGAATGTTATCCCCCCAGATTTCAGCAACCTCAGTTAATTAAAAGGTTCAGATGAAGTTAATCAAGTTTGGAACTCTAATTTCGTGCAATGTTTGGATACGATTCGATGAGTCATCTTTTGGCAGAGCAGCTCTTTATCCCTGACAGTGTTTGATCTTAACAGAACGGTTTTATAATCTGTAAACTGGTGGGGAGGCACTCTTCAGAAATGCAGAGTCAACAGTGATGTGTGTGTGTGTTTGGCTCTTTGGGAGGAGTGGAAAGCAGAACAAAGAGGAGAATTTAATAAGCAAGAACTTGTCGGGGGCTAGGGTCAGTTCTGAGGCTGTTGCCTGTCTAAAACACGGGTTTCTTCCTGCCCCTTCTCCACCCCTGCTAACTGGAGTGCTGACCTTCGAAAAAGAGTGAAAAAGGCAGCTTCTGTTTGCTTTGCTGCAAATAAGTGGCTGGACTGACTGGCCCCCTTCCCAGAAGCCCTGAGAGGACTTCAGATGTGGTCAGTTAGGTATGTGGATGGTGCCAGCCTGCCGGCCCTTGTCCAAGCAAACTGCATGGGGAACAGGCAAGGGGCCCAGAGAATCTGGGGGGCCAGCTGCTGGCTGCCTGTGCTCCTCCTCTTAGTGCCATCTTATTTCTTCTAAGATAAA